ATGATTACCAGATAATGAGAAGAAATTTGTCAGCATTTCGTAGCGATTCAACAGTTTACTGTCTACTTACTCACACTCATACTTATTCGAAATCCATCGAATTTTAATTCGAATCCAATTTTCTGAAAGGACAAATAAATATGAGAGATTAGCTGAAACTGAAAATTTACTGATTGGTGAATTTCGTTAATAGATTTTGACATTATATATTCACTTTATGATGATTCATTGCTTTGGTTCATTCAATTCAATGTAACAGTAAAAAATGAAGCAAAAAAATGAAGCAAAAAAATACCAACCTATACTTGTTGGCTATCAGTTTGAGTTGTTCATTCAACAGGTTTGCGTTCCTGGAAAATGAGCCATTATTCATTATGTGTGTCTAACACTTCCTTGTTTCGTCCAAAAGACACCAATTCAAATAAAAGAAAAACGAAAATCGTAATCAACTAAATTAATGAAAAATGAACCATTTTGATTATCACACAAGGAAAAATGTTATTCAATTCTAGTCGTTATAATTAGTTATTTTGTTGACTCTCATTTCACTCCTCGATTTCCGTTAATGATAACAGGATTAATGAGATCATGTGATTGAATTACAGTAGTATCATGAAAATTATGATTTCTTTTGTATCATTGATGGATTTGCTTTACTTGGTGATGATTCAATGGTAATTGATTACCTGAGTACCAATCAATCGATCACTTGAATAAGCTGTTCTAGTTAGTGCAACTATTTGTATTATTAATATTATTTTTAACTATTAAAGTCAACTTTTAGAGCATTCAATATGAGAGAAACAGATGAAATTTAGCGTCAAATTGCTAGCTGAATGATGCGATCTGTTTCCGTTTAAACATTCAAAATCTTTCAGTCTCATCATCATTGAATCTGATAAATCACTTTAATTAAAAATAATGATCAAATCATGGTGTGAATTGTTCTTCATTCATTTATTGGTAAATTTAAATACTCTGAAAATATAAAGATAACGTCAGTTGATGCGATGATTAATATTAATACTCAATAAATGTGAACTGTTTACCTGATATTGAGTTTTTCCATGTTGATGGGTGAAAGGTTCAAGTTGTGTCCTGAAAAACAAGTCAAGACAAACGGATAAAGTTATGAAGAGTGCAAGATTCACCTCTAACTTCCTCTTTGATATCCGTCTATGGTTACATGTTAAATGAAAGGAAATGACAAATTAAATTTAAGCACAGTTAAAATATTGAAAAAATCAATGAAAAACGTAAATTATACTTGACACGAACCATGAATTACCAGTGATTAGCTGGTTAACATTTGTCTATTGGAATCTGAACAGATATGAACCAGAATGAGAAAACTAAGTGAATTGAATGGTTGAAGGAATAAACAATTTTTTCAATTATCATCTCATTCGATGATCACTTATGAGGACTTTTTTCTTGTCGTTTGATCTTCATTATTGATCATTCATCTCATGATCAATCAGAGTTTTTCTAGTTGTCTTAGGTAATCTTTCATAATTTGATCAGGAATTATTAAAGTGGAATGATACTCAGGCAAAAATAGATGTTGATTTACTAAGTGACTTTTCAAGTATCTAAAGTAAAATAATCGTTGATGATGAGTAAAACAGTCCGAAAAAATGACCATTTCATTTGAATATAAAACCCTTTTCTACCTGAGAAATGAACTGACACTTGACTCTAAATAATTTGAAGTGACAAAAATTCAAATGATCAATATCCTCTACATTAGCTTAAGGTTTGTATAATACAGTTGACGTTAATTTAGTTGATTGCCATGTTGTTGTATACATGCGCTATTCCAAGTTTTGTTCAATCCCTTTCACTCCTACAACTTGATATCCGTTAATCAGGATAAGTGAGATTATTTTTGTTTGAATTACTGTCGTTACAGCAAAATTATGCTTAATCTCTTGTTTAGAAATCGATCTTTTTCTTGTTAACAATTTGATGTGAATAATCAATGATTCATAATTGAATGATAAACAATCGATTAGCCATTAATCATAATGATAAGGTGCGCATCGGTTAAATGCAACATTCATGCTTTTGGTTGAGTTGCTATGTCCTCTTGTTGTTCATTTATTATTTCAATTTACTATGCTCATGGTATATCTTCTGAGTTTTACAGTTAATTATTCTTCAGTTGAGGTTAACATTCATATCAATCAGCAATAAAGTGGATGAAATCAATGAACCTTTTTGGAAGGCCTTTTTCCAGTTTGGTTAATTTCTCATCAATTTAAAGATGTTGGAATAATAACTTAAAAAGGTATGATATACATTGGATAACACTTTCTTTTAATCAAATCTTGAGCCTTAATTCATTGTATCAAAGAGAATTTCGATCAACTTCACATGACCATGTTAATTTTTTCCAAGTCTATTCCGGTTCTCTCTGCTCTCATTATTTTATCAATTTGTTGACTTTAATCATTATTTACACTGATTTTTCTTTTCTCATTCGCAGGTTCGCAAGACCTTCTTCTCACTTGCCTTTTGTGAGTGTTGTCGCCGTTTATTATGGCATGGTTTTAGATGTCAAACCTGTAACTTTCGTTTCCATCAGAGATGTGCTAGCCTTGTGCCCAGCTTATGTTCACCTTTGAATGTTGACTCTTCAAACTACTATGGGCATCTTTTAGCACTAAATAATACAAATTACTACAAGGCATCCTCCAATCCTTCAAGTGGACCTTACTTTCAACCACCCAGTCAAGTTTCCCAACATGGAGTTTCATCATCATCTTCATCTGCATCAGAATATCAACCACCATTTAATCAAATTCGGGAATCTATGAATGGATCGACTCGGCGTAAAGCACAAACATCAGGATTCTCACAAAGAGAAAGATCTACGTCTGCTCCTAATGTTTATTGTGTTAACCAAAATAATCAAAGTTTTTCGGAAGAGTTTCACAAATATCCAACATCATCATCGGGTTAGTTTTCTGAGTAGCACTCATTTAAATTGCATCTTCTCCCAACTCATTCTTGTTTTACTTCCCGTTTATTTGTCCCATCACTCTAACCTCTCCAACCTTATCTTTGCATTCCATGAATTTGTTCAAATACAAACCTCTACCTTGTTACCTTGTATTTACTTTGTTTAATTTAGGTTACCTCTATTGCTTTTCATTAACTCAGTCTTAATCATGACCTTTTCTTTTCTTTCTCTAAATAGGTTACAATAGTATTTACACTAATAACAGTGAAGCGGCATACAATGCAACAAGTCCTACGAGAACTCAAAGTGCTGAAGGTTCACCCACTAACACACGGATCGGAGATCAACAATGGCTTCCTAGAGCACGATACTGAAGAAAATTTACATAGCATTTAAGGCAAATTAAACTATTATACACTATATTTCAGCAGTTTGGTCTGCATCTTCGTTTTAAGATTTTCATATAAGAAATTGTAGAAAATCCAAAT